CACTTCCAACGACCGACGGGTGCTGCTGCACTGCACAGGATTCCTTGTCTGAGGGAATCTGAACTTCGGTCCCTCGCGTGACCTCATAATCGGGCAGCTCGCTGCGAGTCGGCGCCCCTCGAAGGGGGACTCCACTAACAGGCACTCTGGCCAGTGACCCGGCGAAGCCATCCCTCCCCGATGTGGGCAACGCTGCAACGCCAGAAATAGGCCCGAGGCGGCAACTTTCGGCAAGTTTCCAAAATACACGTTAGTGAGTACCCGTTGCGGTGCAGCTGATGAGCCCAGGTCACCGTGGGCGGAGGCGGTCTAGGGCGCTTCCTCTTCCAACCCCGTTCGTCCTCCTCGCGGGGGGGATCTTCGCCTTCCACCTGCCCGTGGCGTCCGGAGCATGGGAGCGCGTGGTGCGAGAGGGCCAGAGGGGCCTTCCTGGCGCAGGATGGCGCCAATAGAGCGCAGGCTGGCCTCTCCAGGATGGCACCGTGGCTCCGCCGCGTGGCCTCCGAGGATGGCCTCCAAGGCTGGCCTCCCAAGAGCGCGAGGATGGCCTCCAAGGATGGCCTCTCCAGGATGGCACCGTGGCTCCACCGAGCGGCCTCCGAGGATGGCCTCCGAGGCTGGCCTCCCAGGAGCGCGAGAGGATGGCCTCCAGGGACGGCCTCCGAGGATGGCCTCCAGGGTGGCCTCCAAGGACGGCCTCCGAGGGTGGCCTCCAAGGCTGGCCTCCAAGGAGCGCGAGGAGGGCCTCCAAGGACGGCCTCCGAGGGTGGCCTCCAGGGCGGCGCCAAAAGGAGCGCAGGATGGCCATCCTGCGGTGGGCGAAGTCGAGGCTCCGCCGTGCGCCCACGCGGCTCGGACTCCGTGGGCCCTGGAAACGACAGGGCCGTTTTTCTGCCGGTTCCGTTTTTGCCGCTTTGCCGTTTTTTTACCGGTTCCGTTTTGCCGTTTTTGTTGCCGGTGCCGACGCCGTTTTTTACCGCTCCCGTCGCCGTTGTTTGACCGGCTCCGGCTCCGGCTCCCATCCTGGAGCCGTTTTGTTGCCGTTTCCGGTCGCTGTTTTTTGCCGTTCCCATTTTCAAGGGGCACTTTTTGGGAAACGGTGAGAAAACGGCCCTGCCGTTTCCGGGGCCCACAAAGGGCTCGGAGACCCCACCCCCCAGACGGCGCCGAGCGGCCCCGAGGCTTCCACGGGACACCCCCCGAGCAGCCAAGAGCGAGCCACGGCGTCCGGCCACCGTAGGCTGCTCGCGCCTCCGGGCCCCCACTGGCCATCGCTCGGACGTCCATTTCCTATGATGTGTTCGGTTCCGTGCGTGGTTTTTTCGCGAAATGGTCCAGGATGCTCCTCGATGGTCCTCGCCGAAGGAAAAATGCACACGTCCGAGCGATGCCAAGCCTATCGGACCTTGTAAGGTGGTCCCAACACGGCCCAAGAGGGCCCCGCGAGGGGCCCAGGGGCGGCCCAGGGAGGCACCACGACGGCCCCAAGAGCGCCCAAGAGCGCTCCATGATGTCATCTCCGGGGCTCACCAGAGGCAAGGATGATGTCGTACCCCCCACGCTGTACTTGATCAATGTCCTCCAAGATGGCCCCAGAAGGACCCCCAAGGCTCACAAGAGGACACCGAGCTTCATCGAGAGCTGGCCCCAAGAGAGACCCGAAGGCCTCCAAAATGGCAGCAAGAGTGCCCAAGTCAGCTGCCAAGAGGCTCCCGTTTCGAAAGATCTGGAAAAACACATATAGTTGACTCATGGGTCTGGTCAGGCTGATCCCGAGCTTCGGCGTGACGGCTGTATCCCTTTGTTCTATTGCGTGCTCCCACCTTGTCTGTGATCACCGCAACTCGCATGGGCACCGTTCCTTGATGGGCTCGTGGGAAGACGCGAGGCGCCAAGAATATGGTTGAGAACGAGATTCTGCGCGCGCCCTGTGACCTCCTCGACAAAAAGCTCCCAAAGCCCGCTTTCCTCGAGAGCTGACTGCCCGACAAGCTTCGTTCCCCATCCCCTCCCCCCTGGTCTCCTTCCCTCCCCGTATCCCCTCCCCTGGCAACCCCTTGCCACCATGGGGAGGGGAGGGGAGGGGAGGAGAGGGAAGGGGAGGGGGAGGGGCGGGGAGGGAGGGAGGGAGGGAGGGAGGGGAGGGAGGATGAGGGGGAGCAGGAGGAGGGGGAGGGGACAGAAGAGGAGGAGGAGGAGGATGATGATGATGATGAGGAGGAGGAAAGGAGAAGGAGGAAGTCGAGGAGGAGGAGGAGGAGGCCCCCCATCTCCTGGCCCTGTCCCCTCTTCTGCTCCCGCCGCATTCCCCTGCCCCACCCGCCCTCCGCCCCACCAGGCCACGCCAACAGCGATATTGGTTGAAGGCGATGTTGGGGAGATGGTTTTGGCGACGCCGAATTCGTGCAGAACAGATGGTAGGAAGACACGAGCAAGCCTTTCCTTTAATTGGGCTGGCCGCGAACCACCCCCACCTGTAATACCAAAACCTACATCGCCGATGCATATCGCCGTCAGGGTGTCTACGGCCCACCCCACCATTCATTGGGGAGACCAATCGGCACCCATACAGCTCTACTTCTGAGGCCCCCAAGAAGCCCCCACCCCACAAGCTAACACCAGCCCAATCCCATAGGAACAGATTGATTGATAACAAAGTCGATGTTTGGTGTGAACATCGTTGGAGACAGCCCAAGACGATCGCCTCAAGACGACCGAAGAAACGCCCAGTAGGGGCCTCAACACGGCCCAAGAGTGGCCCAAGACGGCCCAAGAGACGCCCAAGAGGCGACCCCCAGAATGGCCGAAGAGAGGAAGCACAAACTGACATTCCAAGCCCTCCGCCTCAAGAGTACCCCCGAGACCGCCAGCATGCCCCCAAACGGCTCCCAAGAGGCTCCCAAACTGCATCCCCTTCAAAATGCCCCCCAGACGCTTCCCAGGATGCCCAACCTGGCATGACGGCCTCAAGTGCCCACGAAGCTCCTCCTCCTCCTCCTCCTCCTCCTCCTCCTCCTCCTCCTCCTCCTCCTCCTCCTCCTCTTCCTTTGCCCTCCTCCCCCTCCTGCCCCTCCCCCTCCTCCTGCTCCTCCTCCTCCTCCGCCTCCTCCTCCTCATCATCATCATCTTTCTCGTCGTCGTCCTCCTCATCATGACCATCATCATCATTACCATCATCGTCACCATCGGCATCATCATCACCATCACCATCACCATCACCACCATCATCATCATCATCATCATCATCATCATCATCATCATCATCATCATCACCATCACCATCATCATCATCATCATCATCATCATCATCACCATCATCATCATCACCATCACCATCATCATCATCATCACCATCACCATCATCATCATCATCATCATCAGCATATCATCGTCGCCATTATCATCAGTTTCATCAGCATCATCATCACATCATCCTCATCAGCATCAGCATCAGCATCAGCATCATCCTCCTCATCATCATCCGCATCCTCATCCTCATCATCATCCTCATCATCATCCTCATCATCATCAGCATCATCCTCGCCCTCATCCGCATCCTCGTCCTCATCCTCGTCCCCGTCATCATCCTCGTTCTCGTCCTCATCCTCATCACCACCACCACCATCATCATCGGATTCAGCATCATCATCAGCAGCATCAGCGGCAACATCAGCATCACCATCACCATCAGCGTCCTAATAAGAATAATCATCATCATCATCATCATCATCATCATCATCATCAGCATCATCATCATTATCAGCATCACCACCATCTTCATCATCATCATCATCGTCATCAGCAGCAGCATCATCATCATCACCATCGGCATCATCATCATCAGCATCATCATCATCAGCAGAACATCAACATCAGCATCAGCATCAGCATCATCACCATCATCAGCAGCAGCATCAGCATCAGCAGCATCATCACCACTACCGACATCAGCATTATCAGTAACAGCATCATCATCATCATCATCATCATCGTCATCAGCATCAACATCATCATCATCATCGTCATCATCATCGCCATCATCATCATCATCATCATCATCAGCATCATCATCATCATCATCATCATCATCATCATCATCATCATCATCATCATCGCCATCATCATCATCATCAGCATCATCATCATCATCGCCATCACCATCACCATCGCCATCACCAGCACCAACACCCTCATCATCACCTACACCATCATCATCACCACCACCATCATTAACATCATGATCATCATCATCATCATCAGCATCACCACCATCATCATCAGCAACAGCATCGTCATCATCATGATCGTCACCATAAGCATAAACATCATCAACATCATCATCATCATCATCATCATCATCATCATCATCATCATCATCATTCCTTTCCCCCCTCTCTATGTTTCCTATTTCAGTGTTTATTACGTGGTCTCCTCATCTCTCACCCCCCATCGTCCGCCTCCGCCTCCTACTGACAGAAACCTTCACGATCTTCCAAGCACGCATTAAGTATGCCACAAAACCTTCGGGTACTCGAATAACGTGTTCACTGTCTAAACTTCCTCATCTTCCCTGCGCTTTCTCTAAGCAGTGCAGTCCTCCTTCTACTGTTTACTAGCCCGACCCGCAGCGCAAAAAATCACCAACTTCGACGAGCGTGACTCGGCACCCAGGCCGCAAAGCTGCCCAAGACCTCCCGTGGGCAGAACTATCTGGGATGCCACCAGGTAGCTGCGAAGGCCCAGAAGAAGCGCAAAAGCTCCACAGCCTGTCCAGACGTGGTAGCGCGACGCGCTGCGGATATGCATCGCGCCGGAGGGCAGTGGAGACAGCGGCGGTTCTCTCGCCCGGCCCACATCCGGTCAAAATCGGTCCCCCTCCAGGGGTCCATCCCGACCTGTTTTCGAGGCGGATCCTGCCGCGGCGACACGATGTCTCCCAAAGGCCCCGCGAGGAAGGACAAACGCAGGGGATGGCCACCCGCTGCCTCGACTGACCCCTCCCCCGATCGAGAAAAACTCACTCCTACCAAACGCCGATCTTCCTCTCAGCCTTCGAGAAGCTCCTCCCGCCGCTCCACCTCAGAGAGCAGAAAATCCAACCTCAGAACAAGCGCCTCGACAGGCGAAGCCCTTCGGTGAACGAGCCCCAGAAAAAGGGGATCTGACAGGGCAGGGCTGTGTACTCCTGATTTCGTAATGAAAGGGAGGGGGTCTGGACCCTCCAAGACAAGCCATTTCAGACCTCCCCCTTGGGAGAACCCTCCAAAATATCGTCCCCAGACCCCCCCAGGCCCTCCAAGATGGCCTGGAAGAGACCCCCCCCCGAAATGAGACCCCCCTCCCTTTCTTACGAAATCTGGTGTAACCCACGCCGATTCTCTGGGTCGGAATACATCCATCCTCAGAACAAGCGCCCCGACAGGCGAAGCCATTCGGTAAACGCACCCCAGAAAAAAGGGGATCTGACAGGGCAGGGCTGTGTAGTCAACGCCGATTCTCTGGGTCGGCATGGGTTTTTCCTCCCTCGACGCCTGGACGGCTGCGCCCTCCGAGAGGCCGCGGGGCCGCCCTGCTGCGCCTCCAGCTCCCGCTGCCTCCTCTGCGGGGCGGCGATCCAGGGGGGGGCCTGGCTCAGGGGGGAGGGGCATCGGCGATGCTAGGGGGAAAACAAACCTACCTCGCTCTTGACCACCCTCGCCTCCAAGAGATACCAAACGATGCCAGACTGCGGCCTGTACTGGTCAGGCCGCTTGACGAGGAGGCGCGTGGTATGACTTGGTTTTGCCTGGAAGCGAAAGCGGGGTAGGTAGTTCACGCTCTGAGATGCATCTCCGATGGAGCGGCGACACTCCCCCGAGAGCGCAACGGCACGCTCCTTGGGCGGGGTGGGCCATTGTACGAGAACTGTACCCGTGCACCGTGCCATGTTTGGACTCCCTTCAGTGAAGGGGCCCAGGGACACACAAACAAATACACACAAATAAAAAGATGCCCCATGTTTTCTCATATTTTCTGGGCTTCTGTCTTCCCCCCCACTTCCCAGATTTTTCCCATGTTTTCGGGGGAATCGAGGATTCATTGTGTCTGTGTGTTTTTTTCCCCTCCTGATTCAGGCCCCGCTCCGTCACAGAACGTGCGGTGCACAGGCTGCCGGCTCTGCAAGGACAAAAACAGCTATGCACCGTGCACTGCCTGGGTCGAGGATCGACGACGCCTCGCCAGACGCCAACGCGGTGACCACGGCGCACACGAGCCGCCCACGGAAATGCAGCACCTAACTGTCGGCGAGCCAGGGGCCATCACTGGGCGATAGGGTTCAGTCGGGCCTGTCCCCCTACAGGGGGATTTTGGTCGAAAATTTAAAAAAATAGCAAGCAAATGCGCCAAACATATTCAAAAATAGTTGAAAATGGTCCCCAGACTATTCTTTGACCATTTTTGGGTATCCCTCCTGTAGAGGGACAGGCCCGACTTAACGATGGGGGGTCGATGCTAATGAACGTTGCCCCTGGTCCTCAGGCCCTCCAGGAGCGCCTCTCGCTCGCGGGCGAACGTCTCGTTCTTCTCCAGGAACGCCAGCCAGGGCGCGGAGCTCCTCGGACTCGCGGCGGCCCCACTCGGCGCACCCTCCTGTTTTCGGGACCCCCACAACGACGCCTGGCGACAGACCGCATGGCGACCTTGGAATCCCCAACGACCTCCCCGCGCGGTGCGCCATCGCACGGAGCCGGGACCCTGGAGGCCCGAACGACCCGAGTCCCGAGCCCGCGTGGTGACTCCGAGTCCTCCCCGACTCGCCACGCGGTGTGGTCACCACATCGTCTTGGGGGCCTCCAATCCTGGCGGCCTGCCGCCTGCTCCGCCGGGGGGGGCTCGTGGAGGAGGCTGTGCGCGGGGAACTGGGACCACCCCCTGGCCGAGGAGGCCCTGGGAGGCGTGCCCTCCCTCGGCGGCGGCGGCGTGCTGGCCCGCGGCGTGCGCGGCTGCGCCAGGGCCCCCCGCGCCGCGTCTGCGGCGGGTGCCGCGGCCGCCGCGGCCGCCGCCGCGCCGGCGTGCGCCGGCTCGAGCGCGGCGCGTGGCGGCGCGCGCCCTGGCCGCCGCCGGCTCCGCGGGGCGTGCCGCCGCCCAGCGCGGCGGCGCGGGCACCTGCGGCGGCGCCGCGACGGGGGGCGGCCGCCCGCGGGGGCGCCAGGCTCTGCGGCGGCGCCTCCTGCCGGGCTCCGCCCGCGCCGAGGCGCGCCTCAGCGCCGCCGCCTGCGCCGCTGCGGGGGAGGCAGCAATGCAATAGCACGACACCGCCGCCGCTGCTTCCCGGACCTCTCCTGCGGCGCGCCCTGCCCCGCATTCTCGGGCGAATCCGGCGCGTGGCGAGGACGGCCCCCCCCCCCCCCCCCAGAGACGGGCAGCGCCCCCTCGGCCACCTCCTCCCACCTCCTCCCCCCCCCCGCGGAGCCTGGAGCGCGCTCTCCATCTCGAGCCGCAGCGTGCGCCGCGCGGGTCCTCGGCGCCCCCCGCGGCCGCGGGCCCGGCGCCGCGCGGGGGGGGCGCCGCGGCGGCGCGGCGGGGCGACGCGCCGCGCGGGGGCGCCGCCCGCAGCGCCTGGGGCTGGGCAGCGCAGGCCCGCAGCAGCTCGTCGTCGGCCCTGGCCGCGGGGCCGCTGGCCCGCAGCAGCTCGTCGTCGGCGGCGCCGCACGCCCCGCGGGCGCTCGACGCGCCGCTGTCGCTGTCGCTGCCCGAGCCGCCCGGCCCGCGCGTGCTCTGCCCGCGGGCGCCCGCCACAGCGGGGGCCCCGGGCGTCGGGGCTCTGCCGCCGGCGCCGCGGGCGGCGTCCCCAGGGCTGGCCCACGGGGGGTGCTCGGGTCGGGAGGGCCTGGCGGCGGGGTCCCACCGCCTACCCCTCTGCGGCGGATTCGTGTCGTGACGACCCTGCGCGCTGGCTTCTGGCTCCACGTGGATCGTTAGAGGCCTCCCCGATGGGGTCCGCGTAGATGGGGTTGCAGGATCTCGCCGCATCGCCGAGACATCGGCGATGCAATGGCCGCTGCATCGGCGATGCAGTGGCCATGCACCGGAGACGTCGGCGATGCATCGGCGACGTCGGCCTGGAGAAAAGTGGGCCCCACTTTGAGCCGCATCGCTGATGCCTCGCCGATGCGGCGCGATCCTCCGACCCCATCTACTCCGACCCCCCCATCTAGCACCTTGAACGATCGGCGGCTTTCCGATCGCCAGATCTTTCCATGTTTGCCGAGTCTGGGCCGCTGGCTGCGCTCAGCCTTGAACGCCCGCGGCGGGGTCGCGGCGAGTCGACACGGCGCGAACCTGCTGCAATTACCATGAGGTCATGGCGACTCGTCTGTTTTTGTCACCGCAGGCGATTTTGCCTTGCGTCGGGCCCGCGGATCCTCGCGGATCGATACAGCTCGAAAGATGCAGCAGAAATATGGGGTCCAGGGCTCTGGCCAAGCTTTTTGACAGTGGAGTTTTTGTTCGTGACGCTGGATCTCAGGGTACCTCCCACCCCCTCTCGCTTCGACCTCATTGCCCATCCACCTTCACCCCTCGTTCCCCCTTCCTCTGGCTTCTCCCCTCGAGATCACCCGCCTCGTCCTTTCCCTGCTGCTGCTGCTCCTCCTCCTCCTCCACCCCCTCCTCCTCCTCCTCCTCCTCCTCCTCCTCCTCCTCCTCCTTCTATTCCTGCTGTCCTTCATCCTCCCGTCTCCTCCCACGTGTTGTCATGATCCTCTTCACACTTGTTGTTGTCGTCTATGTTGTCGTTGTCGGCACCGCCGTTGTTGTCCTCGTCATCTTTCTCCGTGTCACCCTCGTTCTACTTCTCATGTTCCTTCTTCTCTTCCTTCTCCTCCGTCCTCCTCTTTTCCTTCCTCCCCCTCCTCCTCCTCTTCCTCCGCTCTCTCTCTCTCTACTCCCCCGCTCCCCTATCTCGCTCCTCCACGTCCCCCTCCAGTGTCCCCGCCTGAACATCTAACGCCAACCTCTCCTCCTCGTCCGCCTCCTCGTCCTCGTCCTCGTCCTTCTCCCTCTCCCTCTCCTCTTACAAATCTTTCTCCCATAGAGCACCGGGAGAACCGACAGACACCGAACACCTTCTGGCTCACAGAGTGGCATTCATCCAGCTGGGCTAGGCTGGGATTCGCCACACTGCCAATTTATTTCTGCTGCCCGAGTCGAAGCCACCAAACCGAGGCGAAACGTGTACTCCAGCAGGGCTGAACCTAAACGGTGTTTGTCGTTTTCGTTTTGTTTTCGTTTTCACTCGCTTTTGTGTCGAATCCGCCTTTACCGCAAAGCGAAGTCGAAACGAAAACGGCCCACGAAATCGCCAAAAACACCGTCTAGGTCCAGCCCTGTACTCCAGATCCGCTGGACCCCTCCAGGGCGCCTGGCGGAAAAACTCATTGCTGGACTGCCGTCCCGTGCGCTTCGCGTAATAACTTGTTGCTTCTTGCCTCCGTCCCTGCAGTCCCGCGTCGCCATTCAACTGCCTACAGCCAACCCTTTTCAGAAGCATGCGCGGTAAGGATGCTGGGGCCTTGGGGGGCCATGCTCGCGTTTTCCGAGCGAGGATGGCTGGCGGAAGTCGCCAAGGATGGGCCAAGTGGGCAAGGATGCAAGGGCACCCTTGGGAAGATTGCCCATCCTTATCCTTACTGTGCGTGTTGACTGCAGTCCAGGAGGGGGTGCAACATGAATTAATGTCAGCTTGTGATTAACAAATCCGCTCCGTGGGGGGGCGGCGCCAGAGGCGCCGCGGGGGGGTGGGGGGGTGGGCAGCGCGGACCCAAGAGACCCGCGCAGAGCGCCAAGAGTTCATGTCTATGCAGTTCGTCCTTCCTCGAAACAGTCAAGACCCTCTGCGGTTGCCCAGCCCAAATCTGACGGCCCGCCGCGCCAACCAAAACAGACACCTGGGGGGTGGGCTCGAAATCGTGGCCACTCTGCGGCTCCCTGTCGAGCAGGGACCGACCGTCCCGGCAGTCCTATAGGCCTACCATGAAATGTTTTTACAATGAAAACGTATAGTAAGGGCGCGTGGTAAGGACGCAAGACCCTTGGAGGCCGAAGTTGAAGTACTCTAGCCTGCGAAAAGTGCTAGGGGCGGGCCGCAGAGGCTGAAGCAGGCAAGGACCCAAGGGCACCCTTGAAAAAGTCGTTTGTTCTTACTATGCGCGTTGTCTGTAGAGCCCCAAGATGTTCGAAGAACAGGCACTCTGTGCTTAGAATGTGCACGCTACGTGTTAAAACACGACCGCCCCAGCCAGAAAGGTTCCGAGAGCATCCGTGCACACACCACAAAAAAAGTGTTTAGAACATTCTCTCGGGGGGACGTAAGACTCGGGCACGGGGGAATCGGGTTATGACGAGGTCCAATCTGAAACTTGATGCGGGCTCCCGTTGCAGACATCCCACGAGAACGGGACCGTCAAAATCGAGGACGCTCTCGTCAAAAACAGGTCGGCAGAGCCGAGCTCCGGCTCACTCGAATCTTACTCAGGCGTTGGCAAAACTGCGTTTAGTGGAACCTGGTTTAAATGTGTACCGGGGGCGCCCCCCCGTCCCATTTCCACTAACCGGAACTGCCGTCACCGGAAAAAACACCAGCTACGACAAACCTGATTTGGTGAGCCTGGCCAACTCAAGGGCCCCGGGGCCCTGCCACTAACTGGGTCCCCTTACCTGGGGTCATGGCTTTACCCGGCTTGCGCTTCCCCGATCCTCTGGTATTGGGCGCCCGAGTTATCCGGGGTAACTCGGGCCCGGGATAACGCGGGTTTGGATTCCCGAAAAGCGAACCCGAGTTAGCCCTGACCCGAATTACCCCCAATGATTTGGGGCTATGGACGCCCGAGTTATCCGGGGGGTAACTCGGGCCCGGGGTAACTCGGGTTCGGAATCCCGAAAAGCGAACCCGAGTTAGCCCTGACCCGAGGTACCCCAAATGATTCGGGGCTCTGATGGTAGGCCTACGGGCACGCCGTGGCGCTTCGCCACTGCTCGGCCCCGAGGCTCCCGACGGGCTGCGCCGCCGCCCGGCGGGGCGGGCCCTCCCCCTCCTCCTCCTCCTCCTCCTCCTCCTCCTCCTCCTCCTCCTCCTCCTCCTCCTTTTCTTGCGCAGGCTGCCGAGCGCGCTCGCTCGTCGCGTCAGGGACGGCGGCAGCGGCCGCCGACACCAAGAGAGGAGCGAGCCTCGGGCACCGTGCACGCCACGCTGGAGAGGGACGGCGAGACTCGAGACCCCCACAACCTCCGTCATCTCCAACCTCCCAACCTGAGCAGCCCCAACAGCAGCAAGTGGCGGACGGGAGCGAGGAGGAGCGACTGCAGGCCAGGCTGGCGTCGCGAGCTCCGCAGTCAGGCGAGCGAGGCATCGACAGGTAAAGGCCTAAATCCGGCACTGCCGACACATGGCTCGAGAAAACAGCGCAGGGATAGCACCAAGGCAATCAGCAAGAGAACAGACAAGATGATGGGAGAAGCATGGATAGCAAGACAATGAGAGAGAGGAAGGAAGGAACAGTGCAGCACATGCAGGACGAAGGCTTCGGGACCAAGAGCCTGGAGGAGCACTGGGTCCAAGGGGCCTGACTCATTCAAAACAAGCAGCGCCTGCTCCTTGGTCCCAAGCCGAGTCCCCGAGCGCCGTGGACATGGGCTGCGCGAAGAGCGAAGCAACGCTCCCCCAGGTCCAACAGCCTCGTCTTCCACCCCAGAGTCTCTGAAGCGAGGCTAGGTGCGCCACCGCCCCAGAGCCAGCGATGTGGCCAACACGGCCTCTGCCAGAGCCAGCGAAAGTTGTAGAGACCACGCACCTTGGGGCCTGGAGGGGTTCACTGGGGCCCCTGACAGATCACGCTCGGAGTTGAAAACGCAATGCACACACACAAGACTGACAGGCCCTCAGTCATGCCTACTGCTGGTGGTGGGACGCGTCGCAAAAATACTCGCCGCTGCTGGACTGCTTCTCGCAGTTCAGGCACGA